CCCTTTTAGCTTTGTTCCATTTACTGCTAGAACTTCAATTTTCTTTTCATTCATTTAAAAATATTTTCTTTATTCCATAAAAAAACCCAAGATATTCAAACCCCCAATCATCAAAATTTGTGTCATTATTTTTTATAAACACAACACAATGACCATTACCAATCCCAGGGTGACCCAAAGAAAACCATTCACCAGCATTCACTCAACTGCTGTCTTTCTGGAAGTGTGCTGGTATCACAGATTACCCCTCTGACATCACCACCACTTCAGAGTGCAGGCACTGCTCTTCTTACTTCAGGACTCTCAGTCCAAAGTTTTGGAGGGAGGGAGGTACAGGAGATTTTGAGTGCTAAGGGCTTTAACATCCATCAAGTTTTTGAAAGGACTTTAGATCAAAGCGGAGCCAAGTAGTTTTTATAACTTGACACGAGTCAGTAAGAGAGCAAGGTAGCATGCATGAATAGATTGAGGGAAACCAGTCAGCTGAACCTGAGTCCTGGAAGCAGGAAGCACAGTGCCTGCACTAAAGATGATGCAGGTTGAAGGACCACTGTAGTATGTAATTTGACTTTTAATTTACTGTATTGTACATATATCAAGAAAATCACTGCTCAATTTAATTTAGTACAAACTTCCATATGCATTAATCAGATAATTACACAAAATTTTTTATACATGAACATTATTTTTATCCAATACTTGCTTACTCCTTCACCACTGGAGACAGTCATTCCACGTTCAACTATGCGGTCAATGAGCTTGGTGTTGGCGAAGGCCACTCCTGGGGTCATCACTCCTCCCCTGAAAATATATATATGGTCAACAACATAGTATATGTACATATATTGTTGGACAAAATATATAATGCAGAATTATTATATTCATGAGGAAGAGCTAAAGCTGTAGGGGTTATACATTTGGGGAATGGGAGATAGGAAAGGGTAGCTTCAATTCCTTGGATTAAGAACCTTTCATCAGGACTAATTATCATGGGGAGCACCAAACCCATAGGAATCATACAGCACCTGTAGGGGGCAGGGGTGGAAGGCATTCAGGCTTAATTCAGAGAACTGGAGCACAGATCTAATTTCCTAGAGCAAGAGCCCCTCATCCAGCATCAAGGAACCTCTCTTGAGGGGGCCATCAGCACTAAGGAATCTTTACTAAAAAGATATATAATGAGACAATATTTAAATACATTTTTCACAGAGCATTATTACAGTAATGTAAGGAGCACTAAACACACAAGGGTCATACAATGCATGGGGGAATGGGAAGCAGCCATGACTGATCCAAGGAAGAGGAGCACAGGTAAAACTGCTTAGATCAAGATCCCTCACTGGCATCAAGGAACCTCTCTTGAGGTGTCACATTACAGCAGCCTTGGGTCTACAACATACAGTGGAACCAGGTTTTAAACTTAATACGTTCCAGAAGGTTGTTCTAAAACCAAAAGTGTGAATACAATCAATATTTCCCATAAGAAATTTAATCCGTTCCAGACACCCAAAAATTTTCACAAAAAATTCATTTTTTTAAATATGACACTAATGTCAACTCTACAGCTTCTCTATCACAATTAAGCTATGACAAAATAACACAGAAACCTGAAATACACTCCAGAATGATATAAAATATGTCACTACATATGTGGCAAGTGGTGGCAGAGGCGGAGAGTTTGTTTGGAGGCAGGACAAAACACTCCTTCAATATGACACTAATTAACTCTATGGCTTATTTATCTATCACAACTGATCTATATGACATAATAAACAATATTAATAAATAGAAACATGATATACATGTATACTCTAGAATGAATAAAATATGTCATTACGTATGTGGAGTGGTGGTGTTGTGGGTTTAAAAGGGGCCCCACTGACAGCAAAAGGGGCCCCAAGTTTTGGGGGGGGCGGGGGGGGGGGGGCGGGAGCCCCTTTTATACCCCCAAACAAAAATGGAGGGGGTCATTTTCCCGTGTCTTTTTTCTATCGCTTAATCCCCCTAAACTTACTTGCTACACTTTTAATGCTACTCTTTATCACGGGTTGGCACTACACCTTTAATCGACTCCTGCTCTTTAGTATCATACATTTTCTTTTAGAATCAGGGAAAAACGATTTCCCCCCTCTCTTCAGCCCTTTCCCAAAAAGGGCTTGTTTGGCCGGGAACTTTTTTGGGGCCCCAGGGTGGCTTTTTTTTGCAGTAAAAATTAATAAAAAAGCACCAAAAACAGGGGTTTTATGAAATGTTTTGGGGATGCATGAAGTAATGCTCACTTGACCATGAAAAAGAGGCGGGCTGAGATGCCTAATGGGGGTGTCCCCAGGCAGGGGGTCGAGTATTAATTTTTTGGCCAAACGGGGTTCGGGGGCCCCGACATCGAAAAAAATTTTCCCGCAAAAAAAAAGGGCCAAAAAACTAAAAATCCGAAAAAAGGGAGGTGCAAAAACCGAAGTTTTTTTGGGAAAATAAAAAAATTAAATAGGTTTACCCTAAATTTGGGCCCAGTTTTTTTCCCTTTACATCCCCACCATGATGGCAGTTTTAAAGGGGACTTGAGTTTGAGTACCCCCAAAGGGCCATGGGTGGGGATTTGTCAAAAAAAAAAACCTGCATTTGTGGTCACAGTGGTGCCCATGCAAAATTTTTTTGGGTGAAACCAAAAATATACCTTTTGGATAAAATCTTATAATACCACTGGAAAAAAAAAAAAAGGGTTTTTAAAACACTGGCCAAAAATTATTTAGGACTCATTTCCCCATGGGTTAAAGGGCCCACATTTGTTCCTGATTTTTTTTTAAATGTTTTGTGATTTTTGTGAAAAATTTAAAAATCTTTAATGCAATGTAATGTAAAAAGGGGACAGCAAAAAAAAACATTTTTTAAACAACCAGGGTTTGACATTACAAAAGGCCCCTGACTGAAATTAATTTTTTTCTGGAAAATAGTTCCCCCTCTCCTACATAGCCAAATTTGGAGCCCCCTTTTAAAATGTTTCGTAACCACTTTTTCCCCTACATTTGCCACATTTTTCCCCCTTCCCCTATGTTTTTAAATTTTTTTAACACTTGGCATCCCGGGGTTTCGGGCCCACTGCCCCATAAACCCTTTCCAGGATTCGGGCCCATTAAAGTTTCCTTAAATTTCCTAAATAGTTTTTCTACAATATAAATTTTCCCAGTTAATACCAAAATTTAATTTTTTTTCCTAAAATTTTTTAACACATCCCTTTTTCCCTTTTTAACAAAAAAAATTTTATACATTCTCATAGCCAAACCCTATTCCCTTCTCTTCTTTCATTCTTATATTGAAAAATTACACTAACCACACCCAAACTATATTCCCATCTGCTTTTAACATCTGTAAAAACCCTTTTTCGGCCCCAACTGCTTTACCCACTTTCTTTCCCCCCACTTTTCACTTTTTTCCCCAAAAAAAAAAACTCGGGTTTTTTTCTTACTCCTTTAAGATGGTATTTCTCCTGCCCAAGTATAAAACCCTTGCCCCCCTTTCATCTTTCAACTTTTAAAACAACTCAAATTTTTTCTCTCCATCTAATATTTTTTCCTCTTTCTTTTTTTAACTCCCAAATTTCCCCTTCGCTCCCCCGGGTTCCTAAACCTGTTAATTTTCCCTCCATGGCCGGTCTAAAACCAGGCGCTGACCCCCAAAACCCTTTTCCAGTTACGATAAAAAAAAATTTGCTGCCAAAAAACCCCCATTCTTTCAATTGGCCCCCCTTTGGGCATTCCATCATCCCCCTTTAATTTCCCCTTTTTTTCTCTCCTGTATTTCTCCCTTACAAATACCCTCTACAGTTAAAAACCCTCTCATATGCTAATTTTAACTCTGTTACCACTTTTTTTTTCCATGTCATTCCACCGCCCTTTCCTCACACTCAAAACACCCTCCAAAATCAAAAAAAATTCTGCTGTGCATTTGCACTTTTTTTTTTAAAATCTCCCCCCAACCTCCTTGATCACCTCTTTCCCTTTACTCCTTCTAGCCTCATTTCTCCCAATACTCCCTTAAATCTTTTCCTGTCTCCTTTAGTTCATTCAATTTCACTTCCCCTTACTCTTTGATGAAACACAACCTCAACCATCGAGGTGGGCCCCTTGAGGGTGGATCTCTGTATCCAAAAATTTGACTAATCCTTTATTTCTTTGGATCAACCCCAAATACCTTTCCCCTTTTCTACCCCTTTTTTTTACCCTTTTTTTTTTCCCCCCCCATAAGTGAATAATAATATGCCCAAACCCCAAAAATTTTGTGCACCAAAAAGGGAAAATTTCCCCAGTTAAAAACATTTCGTAATTGCAACATGAGTCGGGGGGAATTTTAAACCCAAAAAAAATTTTAAAAACTGAAATAGGGAAATACAGTGGAACCCCCGGGGATTTGAAAATTTAAAATTTTTCCTGAGGCTCATCGTATGCCGAATTATCGGGAAAGGGGAATTAATTTTTTTCCAAAAAGAAATAAAAGGAAAAACAAAATTAAAACCGTGCAAAGTTTGCCCAAAATATGAAAACAAAAAATTTTCCCCTTGGGAAAAGTTTTAAATTTAATGCACACAAACTGAAGAAGACATGCCCCGGTTTGTAGTCCCCTTTCAACCCGAAAAACAGGGGCATTTCCTTAATTTAAAAAATTTTGGGGGTTTGGTTGATGGGATGGGGGGAGGGGAGGTGTTTAAGTTGTTAATGTTTAGAAGGGGGAAACCCTTCCATTAGGCTTAGGGAGCAAGTCCTTTTCCGGGGTTACTTTTCCCCTTTTTTTAATGCCCTTGGGCCATCTTGAGATTTTCTGGACCTCTGTCGCACAACCCAAAATTTTCCATAGAGCTTGTACCTCCCGTTTCCTTTTTGATTGGTTTTAAAAAAGGGCAACAACATTTTCCCTTATAATAGTCACCAGCATGGGTTGCAATAGCTTGTGTTTGGGGGGATTTTCACCATAAAGGTTTGCAGGTTTAACCCACTTTGCCCCACATTTCCCCTTTAAAAATTTTAAGTTTGGCACAAAAGGTTTTCCCCAACTGGCATAGGCTTCTCGGGGTTTTGCCCCAAACCCTTCAAAATCTTTCTTAAATTTTTCCCCCCTAAATTTTCACCCTTTTTACCAAGGGGGTTTGGGACTAGAAGCTTTCTTGGGGCCCAAAGGTGACTTTTTTTTGCAGAAACCCAACACCAAAAAAAGTGTAATATGGTTTTACCGAAATTATGCTTAGATGCGAGCAACTGGCTGGCTTGTAAAAAATGGGACTCCCCGTGGACGGTCCCCCGACAAATCGCATTGGCCCGGGTTTTTTTAACCCAGTGGCGAGGCAAAATTTTTTTGCATTAAAATTTTAAATTTTTTACCGGGTTTAACGTTATCGAATTCCCTCCCAATACCCGGGGTCCACTGTTTTCTTGTTTTTTTAAACATCCATACAAAAAGCTACAAATACTTTTGTTATTCATTTTATGAGGGGATCTTAAAAGCAGCCAAAAGAAAAACTTTTTCTTCTTGATACAACTTTCTAAAACATAGCATTTGAACTAGCCCCGCAAATCCGAAAATTAACCCTTTCAGTGGCCTTCCCGTAGAAAAATAGCTGTTGAGGTCATGGTTTCCCCCATGCAGTTCTCGTCGTAAGCTTGGTTCACTAGATAAAGGTGAATGTTTAATTTTTGGCATTGATTAAAAGAGTGGGCAGCCCCAGTGGTTTCAGTATAAAAAAAAAAAAAGCTCCATGCATGCATGATGGGAAAAGCAAAAAATTTTAAAGTGGGATATGGTTTAATTCTTTC